TGAGCTTTGTATGTTGTATTGAATCAGCTAAGAGGTTTTTTGATTGGGAATATCAGTTCTGAGGGTTCTTTCTATTTATAAAGTCTTATGCAATGCTAAGAGAAGCACCGAATATAGACCTACTATATTTGTTTAAAATATACTTGCAGACAGAAGCCAATGATTCCAAGCTTCTCATAAGTGCATCTCCCAGAAGTTTGAAATATATAAAACTTTGTTGAAAACAAAGAGATGCAGTTTAATATTACTTTTCAAATAAAAAAGGTACAAGAAAGTTAGGCTACAACCAAATAGATAACTGAGACAACAGAAGAACAGCTGAAAAAAACAGCCCAACAGGGCAAGGACACACAGCTGACTGTCTCATATACTTGGATGGTGGAAGTTAACTTATGAAGTATAAAGCTAAACATTAGCATGAAATATTTGGGAGCTGGGTCCTCCAGTCCAAGATGATGGCGACTAGATTGGAGAGGTAAATCTCTCAAATATTTACGCAAGAGTGAGGCACCTGAAGACACAGCTAGTTATGTGGAGGTATTTACAGGTATGCCCATGGATTTACTTGCATTATAAGGTGCCCTCATATCCGCATTTTAAGGCATATAATTCTTTAAAATGTTGCCCTTTAGTGCTTATGATAGATGTCTTTGTTAGGGAGAACAAGTAATTGAGCTACCAAGAAAAAAAAGATATACCAGGCAAGGAGTTGAAACATGGAATCATGCAGGGGCAGAGGATCCAGAGGGGGTGCAGTAGCACAACTGCATCCCCTTTTTAGACTGCACTGTGGGAGCCTTCAGAGACTGTTTCAAAGTCCTGGAAGCAGATGAAAATCCTCCATTCCCTTCTTCATGCTCAGAGGCACCTCCCCTTCCCCCCACCTGCTGCTTTTCCTACTGTTCTAGAGGTGTGGGAAGCTCCAGAGCCACTTTTGCCTGCCCCAGCCAGGTTACTTGGGGCTGGGTTTCAGCTGAACTCAGCCCAAGGTTGCAGGGGGGAGAGGCAGGGGGTACAGAGGCAGGGGCACACAAACAACAGCTGCCTGTCCCCCTTGCACCTCATATTTAATTCCATGATGAGGGAATTAAATATTAAATGGGGAACAAACCTGTATCCTGGAATCAAGTAAATACATGAGTTTCTAACCTGATCTTTCCTTATTTTAGCCTGAGCTTTTACCTTCTTGCTACTGATGCTAATTGTATTAGCTATGTGATCACGGTTAACCTTTTTAGTGAAAACTGAAGTCAAATATACATTAAATGTTTTGACCTTCTTCATACTATCTACCATTAGCTTTCCCTCTTTGTTGAGTAGTAAGCCAACTTTTCCTTGGTCATTATCTTACTAAAGCAGAGATGGAATGTGTTCTTGTTACTTTTTATATGCCTTGCTAGTTCCATTTCATTTCATGCCCTGGCATTTTTGATTTTGTCTCTAAATGCTCATGCTATTTTTAATGCTATTCTTAATAACTTGGCCTATTTTCCATTTTTGTCTTATTTCTTAAGTTTCAAGTAATTAAAAAGCTCAAGTTAGTTTCTAATACCACTCCCTCTTTTTCTTTCATATTGGAATAGTTTGAACCCATGCCTTTACTTTTTTAAAAACCGGAAGAGTCTTTATTTTGCTATTCCCCATCATTTGCCTAATACTCCTAGATTGCCCATCTAGACACCAACCACAACCATCAACCATGTTTTCTCATGTAGTATTTATCCAAGGACTTTCAACAGGTTTGTCTCTGACTGCATTCTAGACTTCAGAGAAAATATACAGAACAAGTCATGATCCCATTCTTTTTCCCCCTGCCTCTCTTTCTTGAACAAACCATATCTTCTTCCATATCAATATGCCAATCATAAATTAACCCATTACATGTCGTGCTAATTTTGTCAGAATCTGGTTTTGTACTGATACTTCCATTTCCTCCTCTTTATTCACCAAACTTTCATTACTACATAACTGAGATGTAGTTTCCTTTATATACTCCCATGACTTAATTAATAAATTTCCCCAGTGCTCCATAGATTTTAGGACTTTGTCCAAAGTTATACTTACTTATGGGCTTATTTTACTGGCCCTGTTGAATCTAGTTTGAAGTTCTTCTCAGTGGGTTAAGCAAGTCTATGATCAAAGTTGCTCTTCCCATTCTTTGTTAGATGGACCCCAGGTTTGCTCAACACATTGCCTTGGAACAGTTCTTTTCTCATGGTAAAGGAAGCCAAAGACCTCCTTCTGATACCATGTACTTACATTCATCTCAAGGATCTGTATGTACCCACTCAGGGTAAAGAAAACACCACATGAGCACCCTTACTCTCAGAACCTTGACCTATTCAACATCACACCGGGCAGTATGATCAGTGGTTGATCAGCCTTAGATTAGGAGTCACAGTGCCAGATGAGCTTCACCATGCTTCATCAGGTCAGCCCCTAAATGCCTTCATCATCCTCAACAGGGAGTTACCAACTACCACCAGAATTTATCATTTCCTTCAAAGAAACGACAGCTTTCAACCTCCCATCTTTGGAGTTGGGAGGGATGGAACAACAACTGACATCTTCTCCAGCACTACGTTTTATAGCCATGTAACAAAACACTTCCCTGTGAAATGAGAAGCACGTCAAGATTCATCACTGCTCTCCAGCATCACCTATTTCATGCTAGGTGTCTACAAAAAATCTCTTAAAAGAGAGATTCCAGCCGTGACAGGTAGATGGTATATATTTTTATCAAACCCAGCCCCATTCTGCTACCAGAACAAGGGCTTATGGGAGTTTTCTTATTTTAGACATGGGTATAGTTTTATTTTAGCCTAAAAGTACAGAAATAATCTGTTATTTGGATATTTTAAGGATGAAATCAGAATGATGGACAAATTATCTTGCGGTGATAAAGAAGGTCACGTAAAACTAAATAAGATTTATTAGAGATTACTATAACTCAGGGGTGTTCAACCTCCAACTGGCTGGCCAAATACAGCCTGCGGAGCCATTGCATCCAGCTTGCAGAGCTCCCCACAAGTCCAGAAATTTGGTGGCAGGGTAGCAGTGGCCATTAATAGTGGCCAAATTTCCAAACCTCAATACCTGTATGGCTAGTCAGAGCCAAACTATACCCCCTTCCCTGTGGGGCTGGGCCACACCCCCTCCCACTTCTGGATTGGGCCCTGGCCATACCACCTTTTCTCCCATGGGGCCAGGCTATATCCCTTTCCCTTCTGTGGGGCTAGGATGGAACCTGGCCATGTCCCCTTTCCTCCCACTGGGGCTGGGCCACGCTGCCTTCCCCCCATGGGGCTGGGCTGGGCCTGGTCACACCCCTTCCCCTCTCTACAGGGCTGGGCTGGGGCCAACCTTCCCCCCAGCCCCCTCCGCATGGCCAGACAGTGCCCACTGTGAGCACCTGGGACCCGGATCAGGAACACCTATCTGGCCTGCTGGGCAAAAAGGTCAGGCACTACTGACATAACCTAAGTTATGGTTAAACAGCAGGAAGTTAAAATAAATGAATCAGTAAAAGAACACTAAAAATCAGAAAGAGAAAAAAGTTAAACACATGTAAATAGTAAATATAGTATGAACATTTTTTAAATGAGTAAGGTCTATCAGGCACCTGACAGAAGACAAGTGGGCATGAAGCAGAAACAAAGTAAAAGAAAGTTAATACAGGCAGAACAAATCAGCCTGACAAAGTGGTGGAAGTCAAGCAGATTTCACTGTTGCTTTCAAATTCCTGCAAGACAGAAGTTTTATCTGAGAAAAGAAATGTACACTATCTACAGAAGGCAAGACAGGTCATAAATTCAAATGCACTCACACAAACACCAAGTAAACTATTCTGTTTTAATAGCATACAGCTCAACAATAGTCCGATTTCCAATTAGCCCCCTACACTGAATATACCGATCACCAAAAACTATGATGAAGCACGATTAAAAAAATTAGGTGATATGGTATTTTCTATTTCTTAATACAATTAACTGTTTGGGATTAAAAAAATAGACTTTATTAAAAGGCACAACTGGTTAAACATTCAAAGTAGCAAGGAAAATATGACTAGGACATGCACGTAAAAATTAATTTCTATAATTGTACTTGGTACTTTTCAGAAGTCTTCATTTCATATTTCCAAAAGAAGTAAAATGTACCTATCAGTTTGGACAAAGAACTTTACTATAAAAGCTCAACCTAAAAAAACCCCAAACAAACTATAACAGCAAAATGAAAATAGGTCATACATTTAAAACTCTTATTATTTGTTTGAAAAAACAACTCAGCAAAAAGAGTAAGGTCTTAAGTGCATTGCTACTTGACAGCAAATATACACAGTAAATCTACAACCTGGGCAAGGTATATCACTGAAACATGCGGAATCAATGTTCAATTCTGCGTGTCTGACAAAAATGAATAAATATGGTCAGGTTACCCCTGGTTGTTCATTATTTTGAAAATTGGAGTACTAAAGTGTATACACTGTTCTTAATCTTCTATGCATTTTTAGTGTTTTGGGGGAGAGGGAGAAGCAACTAGGGCTGTGAAGCTTTGGTTGCTGATTTGATTCAGAGAAGATTCGGCCCAATTCAGCAGCCGAATCTCCAAATCCGAAATGAACCAGGAGAACCAATAAGCTCTCCAAATTGAATTGGAAGCCTCCAATTTGATTTGGAGAGATTCAACAATTTGGCCATAGACACAGCTTTATATGCTTTTTCTACATACCTCATGCTACCAGGTGGCTCGTGAATGCTGAGATGGTGGAGTGGATGGAGGGTCCCACAGAAGCGCAGAGGGATCCCCAGCACGTTCAGCGGCGGACCCGGAAGTTGACTGGAGTGCATGGGGGACCCCTCCCACCCCGCCCCACCGGCTCAGTGACTGGTGTCTCCTGGGCCTGGGGGGGCACCTGGAGACACAAGCCGCGCCTGGTACCTCAAGGTATGTAGAAAAAACATTTAAACCTGTGTTAATGGCCGAATCGCTGATTCTCCAAATTAGAATCAAATCTTCAGATTCAGATTTGGCTGAATCGAAATTGGGACAGTGATCTGAATCAGCTAATGGAATTGGGACAGTGATCCGAATTGGGTCGAGTCCGAATCAAATACAGCCCGCTTTTTCATGAGTAACAAATCCTAGAGAGAACCCAGTGACCATATCCATACACTATTCAAATATAAAGTTTTCTGACAGTACACCATACAATTAGTATTTATAACGCACAGTATGTTTTCACCTGCATGTATTTCATCCATGTTATTATTTTAGCTTATTATTGTAATATTGACAAATTACACGGTCACTAGGATGGAAGTGCACAGAGCTACTAACTTTTCTGACAAAGATCAGCAAAACGCACAAAAAATTACTGAAGTAATGCTTAACATAGTTCAAAGGGAGTTGTATATATAACTTATCATTCTCAAATTGTACTCATTTTAGAACAAATTTGTAAGAAATTCATTAAAAAGCAACACTTATCAAGACTAAATCCTTGTTTAATTTACTCCTTGTTTGATAGGTTTTACTCCTTGTTTGATAGATTTCTCCCTTGATATTTTGTGTCTTAAGTTCTAAATTCCCCAAGGATTCCTTAAGGTATTAACAAAATCTTCATCATCCATAATTCCGATACTTAGTCCTTCATAGTAATCTTCAAATTCACAATATGACACTTCATTTGGATTACTGCAGGCATCCTGCAGCGTTTCAAGAAATGAAGACTTAATTTCTTCCTCTGTGGCATCCCCTGTTAAAATATTATTTACCATTAAACACTTTCACAAGAATACTCAATAGATACCATTTGATATATTTAAAGTAAATATGTAAAGTTATGCCCGCAAAGATTTTTCTCCTTCAACAAAACTATAATATTTTGATTTTTCAATAGAAGTAGCTGCTGGCTACCTTAAAGCAGGCTTTAGTTTGCCAGACTGGGTAGTAGATAGTTGTACCTAAGGTAGGCCATGAAATTCATTGCATCCTACTAAAGCATTATTACAGCTATTGTCATCATTTCTCTTGAAACACAAGGTCAAAACAGATGAACAGTGATAGGGAGAATTTTTCTTCAAAAAATTCCAGAAGAGCCAGATACAATCTGTAGCCTACTCAGTCCCTAAAACTTTAATCTTTGTAATTAAAGTGTGTGTATTTAATGCAATGCAAGATCAAAGCTCTGAAAAGATCTTGGGATATCAAGTTTGCATTCTAAATCGATTTGGGGATTAAGAGTGATTTCGTCTTGATCAAGATTAAACCCAAATTACTTTTAACACAGAAAATTAAAAATACATACCTGGAATTCTTGCCCTCTAAAAATACGCATTGCAATGGATCACTACCCTTGGAGCAAAATTCTGGCTCCTCTCATTTCAGTCATTTTTACTCTTAAAGCCCACTCTCTATTCATGAAGCCAAGCAGCAGCACCCTTAAACTCTAAAGTACTTTGCTTATGACCTAGCTCCAAGATCAGCAACATTGTACTAAACCTTGCAACCTTGGTTGTCCCCATGGGTTGCCAATTCCAAGCTGCTGTTCCAGCCAACGATGCTTCGTGGCGAGGGCTGCTTTCTCAGCCCTCTCACTGAAGCCTCTGCTCGCTGTTGCTACCAACAAACATGTCAAGCAAGGATTTGAAATGCCTAATTCAATGGTGACAATGAACAGAAGTTGCAGTAGAGGGGGGCAGAGGGTGAGAGCACAGCATGCATAGGAGCAAGGACAGCTGGACCTAGAGAAGCAACTGGATCACACAGCCATTAATTAAATGTGGGCTGGATTGGGTGGAAGGGGATTGACTTTAAAATACAGACCAGATCAAACCTTTGTGGGATAAATCTGGACCACAAACCATACAATCACTGACCTCTAAACTACTTAATTCACTGCCTTATACCAGGGGCGGACAAATATTTTGGGTGGAGGGTCGCTTAACTACATTTGGTGAGCTTTTGAGGCCTGCATGGGTAGCCCTGCCCCCTGGTCTGTATCTTGGGACTGGAAGTCCCTCCCCTTGCCCCCCAGAAATACTCCTTTTGGGAAGGGAACGTTGCCATCTTAGAACCAGAAAAAAACAAATCATACACTAAAAGTCAAACACCTACCCTAACATTTTAATTTTATTACAAAAACTAATTTTTCATGATTTTTGTTTCTATATTGTACATAGGAGTGATTGCATAATAACTCCAAAAAAAATTCTTAGTCTTGTGGGGAATGTGGCTGGGGATGTGCTAGTGGGGAGTGTATATGTGGGGGCTTATGACAGCAGGGTATGGATGTGTGAGGGAGGCTGGTGGGGGTGTGGGGACCCCTGCCACACACTCCCCCTCCATGGCGAAGCAGCAGGTAGGGGCGCTTGGGGCACTCATGCCCAGCACTGGTGCCCGGCTCCAGCCAGCGCTGTGTATCACGGCAAGAAGCGCAGCCCTCGCTGGGCCGTCTCAATCACCAGCGCTCCCCGCTACCCACGTGCAGCTCCTGAACTCATGCAGTATAGCAGGGAAGCCCCACGTGCTGGAGCTGGCTGCCTTCTCCATCCCCTGCAGCAGGACCTGCACAGCAGGGGGCAGGGAAGGTAGCTGGCTCCAGTGCGTAGGGCTTTCTTCCCATACCACACAAGTGCTGGGGCTGCATGTGCACGGCGGGGAGCACCAGAGATAGAGGCGGCCTGGTAGGGGCTGAGCTCCTCACCGTGATGCGCAGTGCCAGCCAGAGCCACGCACCGAACGGCAGCACCTCTGCTAGGCATGAGTATCCCGAGTGCCCCCGCCTGCTCCTGCTGCTGCCACTGCTGCCTGCCAGGGCTGTGCACCATGGAAAAAGTGGGAGGAGGTCCCCACACTCCCCATCCTCCCTCACAACCACATGCTGCCCACCCAAACTCCACGCTGCTGCCACCCCCCTGGGCACAGGCTGCGTGTGCCATCAGCCCCAGCCCCACGCTCTGCACTCCCACCCAGCTGCGGCTCCCCCACCCCCATTGCTTCCCTACCTGCTGCCCAGAGTGAGTGGGACTCCAGGGAAGCCAAGCAGGCCACCAGCAGCTGCAGCAGTGGCAGTAGAAGCCCTGCCCAAAAGCTGCATGCTGACCTTCCACCCACAAGAATGGGAGTGAGATTCAACAGGATATGTTGGGGGCATCTGTATACATGGGTGCCTCGCTCCCACCCTCGTGGGCGGAAGGGCTAGGCGGGGTATAATTTGGTGGTGGGTACCACGGGCCAGATGAAAATGCCTGGTGGGCCAGATTCGGCCCACAGGCTGTATTTTGCCCAGCCCTGACTTATACTATCATTCAGCTGTCTTTGGTAAGTTCCTTTTTTTAGATCAAAAGGGCAAAATCTTCAAACCATTACCTACTGACAAACCAAATTAAAAAAAAAAAAAGAACTGAAAGCAGTTACACAACCTACAACTCAGAAGACAGCAAGTAGGGGAAGTCCACTAATGTGCAGCTCAGAGGACAAGAATTACAATTAAATAATATTCTCTCTCTCTCTCCAGTCTAGAAATTCCTCTAACCATAACTCTGATGTACAATTCACATACTTTTTTGGCAGAGGCTTCTGGAACAATCCTTTTCCCTTTAGCTGCAAGGTGCATCAGTCTGCCCTACAGGTGGCATAACAAATGGCTAAGGTAACACCAGACCCTTCCTCTATTTCAAATTCCAAAGACCCTAAAATAAAAAGCATCTATCCCCTCCCTCTACTGAAAATTCTGCATATTTTATTTTGCCCCTGGCCAATTCTCATCTTCCATTAGATCTTTAGAATTTTGTAGGCTATTTTTTTTGTTTTACTGTCAACACTGAAACTGCAAAAATCCTTCCCCAAACGGCTAATCACAGAAGGGCCTCTAAACATATAAGTCCTCACCTGCTTCCCAAACTGAGCATAGATAGCTTTCTTACCTTGTTTTCCCAGCCTCTGGGGCTTACTCACTCATGTACATTCCTATGATCTGTCAGACACAACCTCCTACAACAACCACCTGACTGAATTATCACTTTAGAAGAACCAAAATTTTGGTAGCAAGGGTGCTGCCCAACCCTAGCCCTGAAGTCCAGAACTCTGCTGAAGCAGTGTTAAGCATTCAAAGTTCCTATTGGTGTCAACTAGAACTTAAATTCAGAATTTCTGAAAATATCAAAGCACAGCCAAAATGAAAAAAATCAGTGTAATGAAAACTACAGTCAATTCAAGAATTATGTGAAGGAGTGAAACTGATAAAGAAAAAAAAAATCTATGAAGCAAGCCTTCCCCTAGCCCCTCCCCTCCTCTGCCTCCAGCATTTCTTCAAAAGCAAACTATGACAACTAAGATTTCTTTGAATGATAGGAACTCAAAGTTTCAAGAAAGGTATGCCTCTTATAACTATATTTTTCTCCTGTAGTAAAAATTAATTACAATAATTGTAACAAATGAAGCCATTTTTAATTAAGTTTGTGAACATTATGGAAAGTACCCAACTAGTCACCAAAACCAAAATAACAATGAGTTCATTAAAAGTAAGTCAAAATAAACAATGGAGAAAAACTGAACTTATATATGAAATTAAGCATCTTACTGATCAATTAAGCAGTACAATGTTGACAAACTCCTCTTTTGCAATTTCACACAATTATCCAAGTCTTAGCAAAACAAAATAACTTAGACTAGGTGGACTATTTTTTTAGTAACAAGTTCAAATATTCCTCTGTCCATCAAATGCTGAAATACTGTTTCATAAATCTTAATTCTTTTCTATTTAGGTTCGAGACACTTGAGTCCTAAAGCAATCCCTTGAAAAATTTCCTGTCTCTTCCATAAACAAAGACTGAATGATTCAATCTAATCAGGATGACAGTGGGCAACAGAAACAAACTCATATGGGAATGCTTCAGGGTTAAAGCTTTTTAGCAATAGCCTGGTTAAATGAAAAAAAAAATCACAATGATTTGCGAGAGGGTTAGAGTGTTTTATTCCAATAAATTCTGGATGTAGATTGCCTATGTTGTTCTCATAACCAACAAAATTGTTTCAAAGAATTAAGATATATGACTGATAGAAGCAATCCAATATTAATTTCTCACATTGATGTGTATTCTGGAAATTCAGTTTCTTCTGCAATCTAGTCTTTCTTCAGTTGCAAATTTAAACTACATAATAGTATTGTTTTAGGTGGCTTAAAAGAAAATGGGGCTACAAACAACATAAATATCTCTATCTGTAAAGCATTAGCAAGAATCCATATCCCAGAGCAATACTAATTGTTTATTTAGAAGATAGTTTATTTGTTGGATAAAATTAACACTTTCTGCAGGCCTGAGCCAGTTCACTAGAAAACAAGAATGAAATGAGAATAGATATTTTTTTTAAGTGCAACATTAACTCTTAGTTGGAAAAAAGTGAGAGACACTTTGTCCACAAAAAAATAATGTAAAATAAAATAAAAATCAAACAATAGGAATTGTGAAGAGGGAGTTCCCTAAACATTTAGGGCCAGTTCCAATCAGAAAAATTTGTTAGCAGGAGCTAGTGGACAAAATTCTTATAATCAGGCACAAATTGAAGGCAATATAAAACAAAGCCCAAAATTATAACAACAATTCACAGGTACTCTTCTCTCTCTGCTAACAGGTAAAATGAGCTAGCTAATTAAGACGCATGTCTTTTATATGAATTACCTGACAATACTCGAGGGTGTTTCTTGGCGCAATAACATTTTCTAATATCTACCAAAGGCACACTGCCAGTCTTGTTGAAATCTAGTTTCATATAAGCCTAAAACAAAGATAAAAAAGAAAAATAGGCAGAAGGAGAAATGAATAGAAATGTATTACATGAATACACTTAATTGCATCAGACATTTTTATGTTCAACAGAACAGACTGCACTTGGACTGAAGTACTTACATGTTTCATGTGAGTAGTTGTACTCAGAAAACTGACTTTAGACATCATGGAATTCCATACTTTTTACTTTCTCAGTGACTTCCATATTAAATTTAAATAACTTCACAAACCAAAACATAATCTTTTTTCCCTGCCAGCACTGCAAGCTCAACCTAGAGAATTTAAAATCAACCTGTATTTTCTCGTCCTCTTGTAACTATAGTAAAAAAGTTGGTAATCATTTCTTAACTGACAACTGATCATCCAAGGCAGAAAGAGAACTCAGCTTAAACCCTCCCAACTATATTGCTTTGACACTAGTAACAGTAGTAGTACTATCTCTCTTTCAGTGTAGGACTGACAGGAGGTCCTCTAGGAGAGAAAATACAAGGGCTCTGTTTTTTCTGTATTTTCTGTAATGACAGTAACAATTTTCAGTAGCTACAGTACAAACTGGACTGTAAAAAGTGTTTTAAGTGAAAGATTCCACATTCTATTACCAATCCCTTTGACCACACAGTTTCCCTACGTACATTTTATAAAACAGTATCTTAAATAAATAACAGTGACACCTTGTTCTCGGTGCTGAATAGCTGTGGACTGCAAAGTGCGTTAACAAAGATAAGTATTAATTCCCCGTTTTACATATGGGGGAAACTGAGGCACACAGCCATAGCAACTTTTCTCAGATTTACCAACACACTTGTGGAAGCTCCAATAACTGAATTCAGGTTTTCTAAATGTTAGCCCAAGGTCTTATCCATTAGACTGTACCAAGAAAATAGCTAAGGAAGGAGGGCATGCTAACACGCATGCTTGTGTTGTGAACCAACAGAAATGTTTTTTTGCCAGTTTCAGAAGTCAAAACTAGGTAATTCAGCACAAGGGAGAGAGATGCAGCCTTTTAATCAAAATTTATGTTAGTTTTTACAAATCAACATAATATTCTGAAATTCTTAAACTTTATTATGGTATTGATCAAAAATAAGATTTGAGAATTTCATTTTCTTCTATGCAGGTATATATCTATCTAGAAAAATTACACAAACTTACTTTTCTGACGAATGCTTTTCGATACTCATTCATTTCCCCAAAGAGCGCACGGGTGAACTCCCCATAATCAACTGCATCATTTCTGTTGTCATCAAGAATAAACCACAAAGTCTCAAAGTCCTGAAATTCAAGAGTGACTTGTCAACGTGACCTTTTACAAGAGCTACATGAATGTATATCATTGGGCACCTCGACCCTATGAAGTAGGATCAAAAACTATTATTTATTGGTCAAACAATACGCATTTTATGATAAATGCTTTACAGTCATGTAATTATGGAAAGAGACTGAATCACCACAAACTAATTTCCTACCAGGCAGATGACCGGAAGATGCAGTTATCACTGAGGATTTCATTCTGTCTTTCAAATGTACCTCGGGACACACGCCCTCTGAAATTTCCAAAAATAATTGAGCCCCCAAGAATCCATAACTTAGCAAAAAAACTCTGTTCTGCCATTTAGTGGAAAAGAAATCCCACTTCCCTTTTTCCATAAATGCAGCAGTTATGCACCACAAGTGTTTTAGACTGCAAACCCAGACTCTTATCTTTACATAGTACCAGAGTCAAGTGCACCTTGCTGAAGAATTTATGTTATTTTACAAAGATCATTTTTCAGGTTGACCTCAACAGCCACCAAGACTGAGACAAGAGTGGCCTTGGAAACAAAAGTCCTTCCCAAGAATTCAGATCAGTAATGGAAGTAACCATCCTAGGAGCGGTAATGGCAATCAGAGCCACGATGTATGATGGACTTTTGTCCTTCCTGGATCATAAAGAGAGTAGAATGTGTGGAATACTCAGTAACAGAGATTGTTAACAATTTTGATTAAGGAAATTTACTGGACCAATCTAAGAGATATGGGATAATCCAGGTTTCAATAAAAAAATTATTATTCAAAGCTAAGGCAATCACAAACCAACAGTCAGTTAACTAGTTTAACTTCCTTTTTCTAAAAAAATTGTTCAACACTGCCTATCAGCCAGTAGAACCTCAAATCTTTCTCAGTTATGTTTCAGGTCATGTCTTAGTACTACATCTCTTTCTAGACCAAGGAAGTAATTCCACACTCCTCCTGGACTACCATGATTCCTAGTTTGCCTCTGAAGCGTCAAGGTTGAAAAGAGCCTTTCTGAAATATCGTAGAGTCCTTTCATCTCAGACCTAATTCAAATAGTCATTATGGACAAACATTCTCCCAGCTGCAGATTTTTGGGAAATACAGTCTTGTTCCTCATATTTTTTCAACTTCTATATAAGGCCTATTGGAAAAGCCCAAATGAAGCAATATGTGCCAAAGTGCCAGAAATCTGCAGAAGGTAACTAGCTGCATCTCATGTGTATTATTTACTAGGAAGGCATATTATCATTATTAGACATTAAAATATAGTTAAAGGACTTTTAAAAATGTTTTTTAAGTTATCCACAAAAGAAAAGAAAATAGTCTTGTGCCCCTTTGTACTACTTAATGATGTACTACTTAATGATGTATAAAGAGGGACTGAGAACAAGGTTTTAAAATGTGAGTCTGAAAGCAGAAGTACCAAATACCACTGCATTTTTAAAACTGACATTTTAACTAGAGGAAAGCAGCAACTCAAACCTTTATAAGACAATCAGACTGGGCTCACACTCATGGCTTCAGTTCCAGTTCCACTTACCTGTTCAGACACTTCTAAATGAAATATTTTTAAAGCTTGTTTAAAGTCCGCCTTAGAAAGGACTCCATTTCCTTTCTTGTCCAGCTGTCTGAAGTACTTTCCTAATCCTGTTACAATGCGAACTCCTCTTTTACTTAATTTGTTTCTGAGAATACCTGAGGATCCAGAGAAATAATTTTAAACATATTTACTTGAAATGGAAAATGATTTTTTCAAAACTACCCCTTACCATGCGGTTAGTTATGCAGTGCAATCATGCATCCAACTTCAGTGAAGCCAAAATACTAACAGAATAAGGATACATTGGGTGCGTCTACACAAGATGCTAAATCGGCATTAGACTAAATTCTAGTACACATTACCATGCCACAGCAACAGCCGTGCTATTATGTTAATATGCAGTAGAATTAGTCTACTGTGCATTAGCATCACTAACACCAGTTACTGAGCATTCAGTTAGTACCTGTTATTACAGGTACTAAACTTAATGTGCAATAACTACAGCATATCACTGCACATGTAGATGTGCCCACGATCAATTTCATTTAACATTTGAATACAGATATTATTTTAGGAAGTGGTCAGGTTTTGCTCACTAAATCGTAACAAGATCTTAAAGAAGGAGCAGACCTCTTATATTTCTGTCGTACTAACTAGGCAGTTGTAAAACAGTTCACTTCTACTAGGAATGACTGGATACCACTGAGATTCAACACCAGAAGTGATTGAGCAACTCTATCCGGTGGAACTGTGCATTTGCTAGCATCATGTAGAATCTTTTATTCAAGAAGCAATTGTAATAGGGTTATTACAATGACTTCAGGCTCTCACTAGCTCAGATTTAACCTTTCTTTATGCAAATAAATATTAAAAACATATGGGTACAAGGATAAACATAGGACCCCAAACCCATGAACAATTATACACGTGAGGAATGTGAATAACAAGACACATTCCCTGCCTTTGGTGGGACTACTCATGTGGGTAAACAATGATTGAATAATCAGAGCCCTAAATTACAGGCTTACTTTATGCTGGTAAATCAGATTCTTTCATATTCCATTAGAAAGTCATCTGCTCCTATCATAGCAATTTCTGCAAATTACTGACATCTGTTATACATTTGCCATTATATAGTAAGAGGGGAAAAACAACAAATATTTCTATTACAGGATCTTGATATCAAGTCAGTAATAACAGATAACTTGCAGGTATGTACAACTGGCTTGGTTCTAGGTCCTAGGCCATCTTCGCTGATAGCAAATATAAAAAGATAGGTGGGAAGCTGATTTACATGTCATGCCAGAAGAACATTTGAAAGAAATATGGGATATCACCACAAATGACATCCACACATCATTCCCCCACCCTGATTTTTCTAGAATACAATCTTAAAGCAGCTTTTACTGAATGCCAGAGTATTTGCTGAGAGCCACTTAGTAAGTCCTGAATATCCTGCCAAATAGTATCTAGTCTGTCCAACATAAATGTTGTTGACACGTTACCAAGATATTAGAGCAATATTAAAAAGGTCTTTCCACATTATGAATACAAAGCATGCATGTCTCTTTCCAAAAGTCAATATGCTGGAATTGATAGATGAATTAAAATCTTCCAGTAAATGACAACAAACATGCATTCACATATACACCAGCAAAAACTATTATACATATTTTAGCTAGCACAACATTTAACACTGTGCGGGCCGGGAGCGACCCGAGCCCTTTTTCGTGCTGCACGTGGGCTGTGGCCAGCAGCCTGGGCACGCTGGATCGGAGAGGGAGGGCGACGAGCTGGAATTAGGCACAAACGCTTAGCGGTAGTTTTAAAGATTGTTTACTTACACCGAGATGGCAGTGGTGTAGGCTGGAAAACTTGCTTGAGTTGCGGTTACAGACACAGACAACACGGACGGTCACATGGAGTTTGCTAGGCTCCACGGAACAGAGCTCCGGATGCTCTGGGTGAATGCGCCACCAAAATCGGACTCGTAGATACGTCTTATAAAATTTGCGCTCGAAGACGGGAAGAGGTGGGCGATGGATCAGGTCGCCAAGCTCCTCTGAATCTCACACAGGGTCTCTATTACCCTGCCGTGTATCCAGAGTCCCCACGAGATGGATGTGGAGTTCTCTTCGGCTTGGGAGGAAACTGCTCAAGCCTCTTATACGGCTAACAGGCCAATCG